GAAAACAAACGCGTCGCCATCATCCATCAGGATGTACTTCACTTCATAACCTATGGATGTTGCTGCAGGACTCCTTGGCACAGGCGTAGACGTTCATCCATTTGTAAGAATATCATCAGAACTCGTTTTCAGAGAAGAGACTGAACCGTCTAAATTCTTCAATTATGAGGAAGGTGGTGAACCTGTATGGCTGACCAGAACAGATCTGCGACGTCTTGAAAATGCAGTAAACATGCGTCTCTTAGAATGGCTAGAGTCAGATCAAAATAAGCTGAAGTGTGCTATAGATAAACTTGGTTTTAACATACAAGAGCAGATCGATTATAGAAGCAAACCTATCCTTCAGGTTGGTATCCCTTCTTCTTGATGATTGCTACCACAATTGCAGTCTTTATTTTAATTTTTATCAGTGCTCTTCCTATCATTATTTCACTCTTATATCGGTTTCGAATATTTCGATAACTGAATATTATTGACTGCTTCATATTCGATTCATGTTGAATATATAAGATAGCCAGTAATACTAATATAGCTAATAAGAATTTCAGTGCGCTGTTGCATTGAAGAACATAACACCGTTGGTGATGGAACTGAAACGTAAAGCAATATTACCGGCGATTTATTTCAATGAAAATCGCCAAGTGTGTAAGCTGCTTGCAGAGAAACTTTTCGAACATTTAGAAAAATCACAAAGTGAATTCGAATCAATTGCCGAGTTTAAGGATAAATTTATAATAAGGGATGAACATGTGCGTAAATTTTGTTCATTTCTTGCTGTTTAACAATATTTGAGTGCATACTGATCACATAATATCAGCAGTCATCAAGTATCAAGCACGAATCTAGTACAATAAGACCCGACCAGTTGTTCAGTTCATTTGTTCAAATTAACCAAACAATTTCCAAAGTGATCTAGACTCGTCATTTGTTCCATTTCGCATTTATGTATTCGAAATTTTATTGTGAGTCCGTCCGAAGCCTAGACTACTGTTATCAAAGAGG